GGAGTTTGATAAGGTCCCAATGAATAGCTAAGAATAGGAAAGTTTGCTGAACACCATGTCCAAGTCATAACCTCATCTTAGGAGTTTAGTTCATGTAAAATAGGTCAGCACTTTGTTTAAAAAGATACTTAATCTTTCGAACCCAACATTCCCCCACTAGGCTGCTTTTCTACAGAAGTTGTTAAAATGAGACCAGGAATCTGCAATGAGGATAAAAACAAGATAGTGAATTTCTATATATGGTAAGAATCTGAACCAGATGCTGCAGCTGTTGCAGTCTCATCTTCCTGTTTCTGCCTTTATACACTAATGGAACTTAGCTAATACAGAACAACAATATGATAAATAGTGAAATTTTTTCTAACTGTAGATTTTATTTTATTTTATTTCATTTGTTACTTTTGGCTTGTCGATGCTTGTGAGTTATTTATTGCAGGAATAACAGACGTTTCAAACCCATTATGTTCTGAACCTAACAATTGATATCCAGCCAGTGCTCCTTGTATAAGAAGAGAGACACATCTGCTTTTGATAGATCTCATGACCCCAGCCAGATTGCCATGCCTCAACCAGTTGTATCTATCTGCTCTCCTTTGAATCATAAACATCTGGTTGCAGTTTAGTACTGCCATGATCACTTTCAAGTATTCAAAATAAGACTTCAAACCCAACTTCAGCAGAATTTGTGAAAATACCCTCTTGTAATTTTATTTTCTTGTCAGAGTTTAATAGAAATTACAAGTCTAACGTTATTCTGATATTATTCTACTCATTCTCTTTCCTGTATGAGCTACTTTAACTCACCGGATGCAACGTTCATATTTATTTAAGGATGGAGAGGCACATCAGTTGCTGATGAAATTGAGTAAGAATATGGATAGTGTTTCTTTGTCTGTTCAGGCAACCGGTTTGCCTCAAAAATTCTTTAGGGTTTAGGAGTGCAAGTTAAGAATCATTTGGACCCCACCCCGCCTTGAGAAAAACATTACAACTAAAAGTTAATGATCATTAGAAACAAAGGAGATTAACATTTATAATCCAAAATAAATACTAAACACAAATGATTTAGTCATGCAACCCCTACAACATCTGTTGTTTTCTGCCAATTAATATTAGTCCATACTTACTCCTTTGGCACTAACTACTCTAGGTACCAAATTCGTTACTATTTCACTTGAGATTTGGGGAGGTCTTAGATCTAATTGGGTAGTCTAGAGATTCATTATTACTTGTTTTGCTTACAAAACAAGGAGCAAAAATGGTAGTCCACACAATGAAATTCACAGTTCACCAACTTAGGTATGAACCTGTCCATGCTCCCCAATAATTTATAACCCCGGATTTTACAAAACTCAACCTAACTTTTGCATCCACCACATTGATTTGAAGAAAAAATAGGCTCCATGTTTTTCTCCAGCGTGCCTAAAGTTAATACAAGAAGGCAGGCTCTAGAGAAGGGAAGAAGCAGTAGAGAAAAAGAGAGTCCAGGCCAGAGTATCCTGTCCAAACACCTCAAGAAAATCTACCCAATTGGGCTGCAAAGAAGCAATTCTTCATTATCCCTGTCATCCTTATCATTGTCTCTTTCAGAAAACTCCAATGACTCTTCTACTTCTATTACAGATTCTGGCACTCCTCTTGAACAGAAGATCTCACTAGCCTTACGCTTGATTGCTACCCCTGAGAGAAAAGAGTTCTCGGTTGCTAAAAGTGTCTCACAGCAGCAGCTACAACAGACTCAGGATTCTAGCAATGGAGAGGTAAAGAGGTGCAATTGGATTACAACGAATAGCGGTAAGATTAGTTTCAACGGTATTTCAAAAAGTTTTACTTAAACCAGTAATAACTTCAACCTAAAGAACAAGAACAATAATCAGGAGAAACTTAATTACTGAGAAATTTTGTAAATTTCTGTCATTTTCTAGCAGTTGAGAGTTTGACATGAATGAAAAAGCGGCAAGTTTCTTAAGTAATATTAGCTTTTGGTTTCAAGATTGTTCAACAATCAAGTCTTTGATGTACAGATAAAGTGTATGTGTCATTCCATGATGAGCAGTGGGGAGTTCCAGTCTATGATGACAGGTAAGATATCAATCACCTCTTTATGTATCCTCTAAATATTACAGAATATCTTGACATCCTTTAAGTCCTAATTAAGTCATCACACAGCCAATTGTTTGAGTTGCTTGCCCTTTCGGGGATGCTGATGGATTACAATTGGACTGAAATCTTGAAAAGAAAAGAACTGTTCAGGTAATTTGGTATTGATTCTAAAGTTGCAACTTTTTTTAATGAAACATCATTGGACTAAAGATTGGTCGCGATTCATTTTGGTGAGAAACAGAGAAGCTTTCTCCGGATTTGATCCTAATATTGTTGCCAAAATGGGGGAGAAAGAAATCACTGAGATAGCATCAAACAAAGCTATCATGTTAGCAGAAAGTAGAGTGAGATGCATAGTAGAAAATGCCAAGTGCATACTGAAGGCAAGTTCCTCTTGCAAACTTAATTAAGACCACAAAAAAGGTAGTTCATGTTGTGTTTACTTACTATGAATTACTGCAGGTTGCAAGGGAATGTGGGTCTTTCAGCAGCTACATGTGGGGCTATGTGAATTACAAGCCAATGATAAACAAATACAAATACCCAAGAAATGTGCCTCTTAGGACTCCAAAAGCAGAAGCCATAAGCAAGGACTTATTGAAGCATGGGTTTAGGTTGGTGGGGCCAGTGATTGTGTACTCATTCATGCAAGCAGCAGGACTCACAATTGATCATCTTGTTGATTGCTACAGACACAGTGACTGTGTAAGCCTGGCTGAAAGACCTTGGAGGCATATCTGAAAGTCTACAAAATGGATATATTTGAATTTAGGACCTCTTCGGGTTAAGCAATTGACCTCAGAATTGGTCACAATAGGACTGTTAGCTTTCCAGTCAAATACTATTATAATGTTCTTTTCATTTTCTTCCAACAACATATTTTCATATTAATAAAATTTTTAACAAACTATGTTCTATAACCTTCAAAATAATCTCCATAATATTTATTAATTTCACCATTTCAGTTTTCTTATAATTCTTTATTTGTTAATGTACTTTTTTTAAAGAAAAAAAAGTATTGTTGAGTTTGTTAGAACAAATTTAATTTATTTTAACATCTTAAAAAATATAACTCCAAAACCTACTTTCTTGAAAAATACTAATTTCTTGTTCAAGATTCATTATAGATGTATGAAAACTAAACAAATTTGGTCAATTTTTGTTATGATAAAAGTAGTTGGTGTAGGGTCATGTCTTCCTAACAAACCAGTCCACTATAAAAAGGCATAAAATTTAGTTTCCTCCAATAAATTAATTTTAAAGTAAAGAAAAAATAAAAATTTATCATTTTGATTTTCTTCTTTCATCAACCAAGAATCATATAGAAATAATTAATTATATTTATATTACCCAGATAAAAGATTGTTAATGAAATATGCAAGTAACGTTAATTTATTTATTTATTTATTTCACTCGAAATGCATCTATTATTTTTCCGTTGTTCATAAATCGCGCATTGCCGCCACCTATCAAAAAAGCAATAACGTTAATTTGTGTTGGCTTCTTTTATCTATTTTCTAAAAAAAAATTCAAAAGAATGTTATTTTGTGTAATTTTAAATAACACATGTATAATATATGAATAATAATTGATATTTTTTTTAACATGTAATTTTATTAAATAATTTTATTTAAATGCACCTAAACCTTGTGGTATAACAACTTTATGCCCTATAGTAAGATACATCATTTAGTTTTAAGATTGAAATTCGAATCTTTTAAGTTATAAACAATTTTGTAAAAAAAAAAATTATTTAAACAAATGAAATATTTAATTATTATCTACCTGTTGTCAATGAGTACGGTATGCTATGTTCATTCTATGAGATCAGAGTTGAGGTCCAGATCAGTTAGTTGTGAGAACATGAATTTCTCCAGAGAAAAAGGAACTTATCAGGGAGTTCCATATAACATACATTCATTAGATGGAAGCAATGAAAATCCATCAAAAGGGAAGGAACTTAGCAGACTCTTCAAGTTCGTGAAAGCCTCTGTAAACAGCCTCAGTCCTACTCTGTGGAAGGGCCAACCTCCGCACCACTGCCGTATACTTGCAAATCCAAAATCAGAACATCAGCCTCACATCATTGCAAGAAGTACGTTAACTAGAGAGGCAAATAGATAAAGGGCATTA